TAAATTTATCCTATTTAAATCAAATGAATTTGTTTGCATCATGTTTTTGTGTTGAGTGATAAGCAAGTTGTGTACAGGTACACAATCCATGATGATGAATGTGTAAAAGGTGAATTTTAAGGCCAAGTCGAGTAACAAAGGCATAATTCACTCATGAAGGGCGGTGATCCTCATAGGTCAAACTCTCATTTATGTGCAATGGGCGAAGGTTTGAAGATATGGAAAAGAAACTATATGTTTGCATTTGCCTAAAGGTGATCTTTTTATGTCTAATCTTAAATCAAGGAGTTTCTAGTCAATTTTCTTTTTATTTATATGCAATGAAATTATAAGGTGTGAATGTAATAATTTATTTATTTTTGCTTTAGATTATGAGTTTGATTTGAGCTATTTTAAATGGGGTAAGAAATTAGTCCTCAATAGTCTATCAAGAAAATAATCTAGGTTAAAAGACAGCACTGTCAACAAATTTAGAGAAAGAGGTGATCTCTAAATGTGCACAAGAAAAAGTAAACACATATTTAACAAACAATCTAAAAATGCCACAAAATATAAAAATCAATAATGATGGTGTAAATGGATATTACCGTGCACTTGAAAAGAAAAAAGTGAGTAACTAATCCTAAACCTAAGGACTCATAATTCGAATAGGTTTTCAAAACATCTTTAGCTTTGTGTTATGGTATTTTGAGGTTCATCCTTTAACTTTTGATTCGAGTTGGGCTTTATCCTCATTTTATTTTTTGCATTGGGTTTTATCCTCACTTTGTCATTTTACTGTGTTTATCCTTACTTCGACATCCTACAGTTCCCATTTTAGACGATCTAAGAAGCCATAGCCAACCAACTAAGACCGACTCCTAACTCTATAAAAGACCCAACAAAAAATGAAAAACCCCATGTTTATTATGGCACTTGCAAAAGCATGTTAGTATCCATAAAACATATCACAAAACACAAGTATACATAAGAGTTTACTTGGACCTAGCACCCCTTGTTGCACTAGGCCCCTTTCCTATAGACTATGCTTAGGGGCTATTATTATTATTTTTAGTACTTTCCGAGAAAGCACAATAACTTTTTTTTATTTATTCTTTTGTGGCTTGCTCACTAAGCACGACCTTCTATAGAAAGAAAGTGTCATAAAGCAACTAGCCGTCCTAACATCCAATCTAACGCACAAGCCGCTTTACCATCCAGAATAATGGGCAACCACAACAAACTAGTCGGAACAAACATAATTAAACATCGACCTAGCCTAAAGCTAAAGTCCGTGACCTAACACGAGCATCTACTTTTTGTTTGATGTATATATGGTGGGTCAAAATTATGCTTTATGTTCAAATTATAATGATTTTATTATTTTAATGCTCAAATTTACTTAATGACTATTTCATTTAGATTATTACTATTTTGGGTATTTTTATTGTTATTATTTTATTTAAATGTCAAATACATGCTCATAAGACTTATATATGTATTTAATTAATATTAAAATTATATAAAACACCCAAAAATAACCAATTATACCAAAAATATTTTATTTTTCTATTTTTATGATTTTTAGAATATATTCTCATATATTTATATTTTAAACCCATTATATCCATTTTCCAAGCTCAAATATCTTCTCATCCAACCCCCGTAAGAACTCGCCGAAGCACCAACAAACACAACCTCAGTGATAAACAACACAACTTGAATCACATAAAAAAAGTAATCAACTCATGACGGCTCACTCGTCGCCACACGATCATCATAGCATGCAGAACGCTCGGTCATCAGCAACCCAAAACACGACAAAATGTGTAGTTCAATACATCAAGATCAATTGTTGGGCTCTCATTCAAACCCCTGAGAAAAAGTCATCCAATCCCTTTATTTTATTTCATTTCTTTATTGTCCATATATTTTTAAAAGCTTGCATTTGTTGGTGATGAATGATTATTGGGCCACAACATGTTTTCTTCCTTCTTTCTTTACTTCAATGAAACCGTCAACCGGGCTCATTTATAATGTGCGATGGTCAATTCCATCGGCCTCAGCTTTTTGTTGGACAAAGATTTGAATTTTTAGCCTTTCGTTGAAATAATAAAAAAATAAAATAAATATTTTTATATGAACCTTATTGTTAAT